TCTGTTTTTAGTTCCTTCAGTCTGCTCAGTCCAGTCAGTAGCAATTAACAAAAAATTTTAAGAATAATGAAATTTCTGGCAGAACTGACAGTCACTGTTCTTTGTTTTCTACATTAGAGCTGCTCACTCATTCTGTAAAACAGCAGCGGCCAAGTCTGTTCATACAAACGCCAGTTTAAGGGGGGGGCTGGGAGGGCTTTGTAAACAGGTGTGTTTTTATAAATTTATTTAATTAAAAAACAAAAATGGCTATTACATTTTGGTGAAGAACATCGAAATATAATAATTCATGTTATAAAAGAATTGTGTGTGTGTGTGTGTTAGTGTGCACGGTGCAGCATGCTGTAAGTCGTTTTAATTACCCGAAGTCCAAAAATAAAACGTTTTTAGCTAAAAGATCTTGTTCAGATCTTGAAATTGAATTTAAGGAAAAAAATCCAAGATTAAAAATTCAGAACATTTTTAAAAAATCCATTTATTATTTGTATTATTTTTTTACAAATAATTTATTATAAACTATAGTTACTATTAATTAATAGTATTTTTAATGGTCTGTAAGTTAAAAAAAATATCTGGTTGAAATCTGAAGTCGATCAATCAATTAATTTTTCAACTAGGTTGCTCCACGCGCGAAACAATGTGTCTTGGGATAAACACGTTTAAAGTTTTCAATAGGAAAAGTATTATTGAAATAATAATTAATTAAACATAGCGCTACATCTGCAATGATAGGGACTTATAATACGCTTTCCTCTTCTACAAAATCTTCCGTTTGAGCCGTTAATTACTGTTTCCGAGCTGTCCTGGACTCTCTTGATCTGCTTTGACTCCGTGTGGCATTTGGTGACTTCTTGAGGACTTTTAGGGCTCCAACTTTGGGTTTACAATATTAAAAATGTATTCTTCAGAGGTTATATTAATTTTATAAACAATTAAATAAAGGTAAAAAAATGATTATACATGACCATCCCCTCTTAAGATGTGTGTCGATCTCGGGTTCCGTAATGATTCTTCCTCCCGATGTTTAAGAATGCTTCTGAGAATGAAATGAATTGCTATTTCATTGCAGTAACTTAAATTTATGTCTCAGAGCAACATCAAGATCAATTGTAATACTAAGCACATAAGAAATTTAAGATGATATTATGGATGCGTTTTTAATAAAATCTCTATCTTCTTTTTGAATTTTAAAATTTAAAATGTAGACTATTTTAAAAAAATCTGTAGGTGCTTAACGCAACAGGTACCTCATTTTTCAGTGACACTGTATATTTTAAATAAGTCTTAAAATTTTTTCTAAGAGGATCAAGAGTATGAAATCTATACGCGAGAATGAATCAGCAATGGATAGCAAAGTAGTAATAATGAGTGGTAATAATAATAAATTCGTCAACAATTGTTGCAATCCCCCCCCAAAAAAATTGTTTACCGCTGCTAGTCATCTTTGATCCCAGCAGCCTTGGAGTATTCAGTATTTCTCAAGCTTTCCCCCGTCCTTGAATAACATGGGTTGTGCACAGATTGTTATCGATAAAAAGGCCTCTTTCATGGAAAAAATGAAGAACAAAATGATGGAAGTAATAGTTTAAAATTTGGATCCACAGTGTAAAACCCATTAACAATAACTGTGTAAGTTTTAGAATTTACAAGTCAAAGATATCCAGAACGATAAATATTTTCGATTTCAGAACTATATTCAAGCGAGTCAAATGTTTGCAAGCAATATGCGAAAGAGTGGCCAAAAAAAAATATTTGAAATCTCAAAAATTGCTAAAAGGCTGTGACATACAAACAAGTTCTTTGAATATTATGCTACTTTTGCGTCACAGCTGAATGCTGTGAGGGAAAATGTATGTGGTTTAAAAAAGGTGTCCTAAATACTTTAAGAAAGAGGGTGATTCAGAAAAAAAAAAAAGACTTCATCTTTTGAATTGGAAAACTTTTAATGGGAGAACTATATTTCGACATGTTTTTGTTTCGTATTTTTTTAACTTAACATAAATTAAAAGCTTGGTGTTTAAAAAAAAAATCTTGGAATTCTCTGTCAAAAATACCTAATTTTCTTGGAATTCTTCTGCTTTATAAAGGAAGGTATTGTTCAAATTAGTCATTTTCTGACTAATAGGAACGTAAGAAGAATTCGTTGTGATTACAATGAGAGAAACAAAGCGCAAAGGAATGCCAAGGAGAGAAAACAAGAAGCCAGTCTGGGATAGATGGATTTCAATAAAATTTTAAAGCATTCTTATCTTTATTACATTCAGAGTCGTAAATTACTTAGCAATATATTGAATTGTACTTTTGAGTTAACGATTTATTTCTTCTTGTTAAGAGATTAAAAAAAAACAAAAGAAACAAAAATCTGAAAGCGTTCAGATTTTATACTACGCCCTAAGGGGCGTTTTTTAACGTTTTGTGTATTACCTTTACTTATTATATATCACATTCTTCGCACTTAAACCATAAAATTCAATTCAACAGCAATATCGCAAAATATTTAAAAGAGCATATCTTTAGAATTTCCAATACAAAGTCTCTCGTGCTGGAGATAAAAATGTTTTTGTTTTCCTTACAGTGTTGCGATTACTCGCTTTAAATCGTTGAGTTTCTTGCTTAAAAATTATTTAATGTTTGACATAATATGAAATAGTTAATAAAACAAATTCCAAATTAGGGCTTCCAGATGCCCATATTCGAATGGAGGACTACGTTATTCAAAATTTGATGTCTCTAGGTACTGTTGTTTTTTTCACAGTGCGAGAAACATACATACATTCATTCAAATTTTTCATTATTTAATTTCTTTAAATGTAATGCAGGCTCTAATATTTAGAGGCAAGAAATTGAAAAGTGAACCGACGCAAAATGCCAAAACGAAATTAATAGCCCTTCTGGGCAAATTGCCCCTTTGAGCTAAAAAAAAGAAGAAGCTTCTCATGAAGAAATTGCCTAGCTTCTATATATAACATATACTTTTTGTATAACTACGCGTAAGATCTAGAAAATATGTAGGAAAACAATATATTTTTATTTTTCTGTTTTAAAGTCCCTAGTTTAAAAAAAGTGAAGTCTCATCATTTTATGTTCAACTCTTCATTACATGTTCAACTCTACATAGGATTCAGTTTTAAAATACATTCTAATAAAATATGTTCGCACATTGAAAATAGTATAATTTTATTTTCTGGCAAAAATATTTGCGGCTTTTCAAACACTGTGTAAATAATTTATTTTAAATGCTAAGAAAATGTGAAAATACGTTTCGGGTTTTTATCAAGAAAACTTAATTAAAGTTAGATTATTTCCCCTTTGAATTTTCAAATAAACTTACTTAGAAAATTTTAACTGTGCGCACACGCTTTTCATCTTACCTATTTGAATCTTCATACCTTTTAATTACACTTAGATGATAGCATATATTAGATATTAGGTTTTTCCCATTTGTAACGTGTGTACGAGCTAGTTTTCCTTGGAAACTTCCGAGAAGACCATAAAAAAAGTTCAATGAGAAAGAACTGCAACAATTTCAAAAGCAGCAACAAAAGGCGACTGTGTAAGAAAGGTCTTCAGAAGAAAAAAAATTATCTTAACTCTCTAATCTGTGAAATTTGTATGTAATGGGATAAAATAGAAAGATGTCATGTAGTGATATCACCCTGATAAAGCAGTAGCAACCTACATCATAAGCATTTTTAATGACAGTGCAATGTCTTACTTCAGAAACATTTAAAATTATTTGTTAATAGTGTCTTTATATTTTTTCTTTACTGTTTAATGATTTCCACCGGCTTATGCACTTGTGCTTAAAGTACTATTATAATTAAGACACAACAACACGCCGAACAAATACTAATTCAGAAGTCAAACAACAAAAATCAGCATTATATTTTCAAAATTTTCACAGGACTAGTTTCGATGGTTTTACCGAACCACCATCCTCAGCTGCAAAACCGCAAATGAACGAGATAGGATATAATGATTAGATAAGATAAGAAAGCCTGGACAAGAATAAGCAAGTGGCGCCAGCTGTTGATGAAACCAGAACTAAAACATAATTTCTTTAAAGGCCTAAGGTAAAGATGGATTGGAATTAGGATCGTTAACTAGAACAGAAAGATTTTTTTGAATGTGAAATACCTCTAGAAAATCCAGTTCTCCAATGGAAGATGTTTTTTGATGACATTATTTCCATCAATTAGCTATAAAGTCGCACATATTTTGCACAAATTTAACTTTCGGGTCGTTTATTCTCCCAATCAATAAAATTCCGAGTTCCATACTCAAAGACCCCCATTCCGGATATGAATTCCTGGGGTATTTATAGGATTCCTTGCCAGTGTGGTTTAATTTACATTGGCCAAACTAAGAGAGCCTTAAAATTTCGCGTCAAGGAACATGAGGCATATGTTTAGAAAAAGGAAACACAAAAGTCTTCTGTTGCTCAAATTGTTGGTCCGAAAACCACACTTTCAATTTTTCTGCTGCCAAAATTATTCAAAAAACATCTTCCATTGGAGAACTGGATTTTTCTAGAGGCATTTCACATTCATAAAAATCTTTCTGTTCTAGTTAACGATCCTAATTCCAATCCAAATTTGCCTTCGGCCTTTTAAAGAAATTATGTTTTAGTTCTGGTTTCACCAACAGATGGCGCCACGTGCTTATTCTTGTCCAGGCTTTCTTATCTTATCTAATCATTATTTCCTATCTGGTTCATTTGCGGTTTTGCAGCTGAAGATGGTGATTCGGTAAAACCATCGAAACTAGTCCTGTGAAAATTTTGTAAATATAACGCTGATTTTTGTTGTTTGACTTCTGAATTAGTATTTATTCAGCGTGTTATTGTGTCTTAATTACTTGTAAGTTGCTTATAAATTTATTGTGTTTCTTTTACCAATCTGTTACAAAAATATCAATGTAATTTTATTAAATTTTGCAGCATGAATAAAATTCCATGTTATACGAGAATGTTCAAATATCTATTTGATTTTTATTTTCAGAAAGCTATTCAAAACTTAGGTTGGTGCCGACACATTGTTTTGATGCATTTAGTAGCAGCAAATATAGCTGTATGGTTGCGTTTAATTGTTTGGGAGACAGCTAAAAGCTGGCTTGATGAAATTCATACCAATATTAATTCTACTGACCGTTTCCCACCAGATGGCATCAACATGACAGCCCATGCTCTCTTCTCAGATGGAAGACATGAAGTCTATGGTAATTATTCGCTTTCTTTTTCCCATGACTGTGACTTGAGTAACATTAGAATTTCTTAACTTTTTCGTGGTAAATTATCTTAGACTGTAATGTAGGATATGAGGTAAACTTGTGTTACAGACTGAACATCATGTACTGTAAATGTTCAGGTGGCAACATATTATAGTCTTTCTTCCATCAACTACCACCACACACATATCAAAATTACTTTAAACTTACTGTTATTTCTTCACTTTTCCAAATATTTTTCTTATTCCTTCTTTCCCTCTCTCTTTCTCTTTTGCTCTTTTGTTTACTTACTCGTATTTATGTATTTTACTAAAGCTATTTTAAAGATTAAATCCCTGGACATGGCTTCAAATAGCTAAATAAAACTGTGAAGCATATCCTCACTTCAGCTCATCCATATAAAATAGTATGCCTTCAATTATTATCATAAAATTGCTCTGCACCGTAACAAAATCAAATAAATTTTCTTCTGACAACAGTTTTGAAATCTGCATAGAGTAAAACTGATTCATAATTCTCAGTTATTAAATGACATTTTTTAAATTTAGGCTTTAAAATTTCCATTTACAGGAAAATCGTCTACATTCACTTTCGTGATTTTTGTGAATACTCACAATAATTCAGCAATGAATGAGGGAGCTCAAGTATGATATTTTGTAATTAATATGCAGTATTAAGTAACATTTATATGTTACCTTGTATAATTTTCACATCTTTTGTATCACGAACCTGTAGAAGTTAGCACGTAATATTTTAATACTATGATACTTATTCATTGTTTTCCCTCTATTTGTTATATATTTCATTAACTTATTGCCAAATATCTGTACACAGAGTGTCTCTGTGTACAGATATGCTTGATTTTTATGTTAAACTCAAGAATAAGCTCTATTTTTTAGTAAAAAAGAGTTTGAATTATAAAGTTATGCAAATATTAAGCCGTTCGTGCAATGAAGTGAATACTAGTTGAAATGAGAGTTCTGGCTCGGAAGTTCAGTTTGTGCAATGAGATGTGAAACAGTTTTTATTTTAAAAAATACATTTTTAATCAAAAAGTAACTTTATATGATATTTTTTAATTCATATCATGCGTTTTCATTTTTTCAATGCGTTATAGCATATGAATAAGATGTAATTCATATGAAATCTAGTAACAGTGAGTAAAATGTATCATATATTTAGGTAAAACTGCTTATTTTTCTAAAAGCAACTTGCTAAATATTTTTAAAAAATTAAAAATAACTAATTGATTCATGTTACTCATCTGTACATAAACATGACAAAACAGCTACAAAATCTGAAAGGTTAATAGGCTGGTTTGAAATATATAGCCGGATAGTGACAAAATTCTTTTACTCTTCTTGTAGATTGAGTAATTTAGCTGAGTGAATAGAATTAAAATTATTGCATGTAAGTACTTGTATTTAATTATATTTAGGAATTTAAATTATTAAACACTTTATAGCACATATTTAATACCAGAAACTATTGTATCTGAGAAAGAATTTAATTCAAAAATTATATGTGGGATCTATAATTCCTGTGAAATTTATAAAATATTAAACTTGGAAAATACAAAGGTAGCGTATGTTATAACTATATATATGTGTGTGTGTGTGTGTGTGTGTGTAAGTTAAAAAATATGTGAATTAAAATTATAATTTAAACTAACGGAAAAACTTTAATACTCCCCCTCTGTTTTAAAAATCGCAATAACTTCTCTGGATTGCGTCATTTCTAGATCATTCTATGGCCTGCGCAGTTCTGATGACGTAATAATTCGGAACTTTATCTATCTGTCCTAAAAATAGCGCTTTAATCTAAACTGCATCATTCAAATTAATCATGCGATCTTACGTAACCGTTAATGGCCAATCATCAAATTGCAAACCAAAATTTTTCTCTTCGCGTGCTTCCATCTTGCATAACTACGCACTTCAGCTTTTGCTCTCTACTCTGCTAAGATGTAATTTCGCTGGCTTGCTTTCTATCTCAACAATATCAAAAATGTAAATTTTCTGTGGAAAGGCATGACTAGAGTGCCAAGTGATTGTGGCCACAAATATCAATTGGAAATAAAAATGGAATTAAATCTACTTCGACTACCAAGTTCTTTAGATATTATTACCAAGTTAACATTATTAGCATACAATGCAATCAAAATTCTTTTTCAATATGGATCTAAGCACGCATCGACACTGCTTCGGCTTTTCCTTGAGCTTTTATTATTTCACATATATATAGTATTTGGTCAATATGATTGTATTTAGTACATATAGCTATTTTCAAATGTAACATCTATTTTTTGTAACTGCTACAAAAGGCGCTCTACGGAAAGCGGTCTGGCCCTCATGTTTAAATAGCATGCACTATAAATGTAAATAGAATGTTATAACTTATTTTAATGTAGTTTAATTTTTTTCCAGTATCTTCCAGTTGTGTATGGTTAGAACAAGAACAGAAGGTAGAAGATATTCTCGCTCTTCGACAGTGCTACCAGAACACGACTATGGGCATTATCTGGGATAAAGCACAGCCTTTCATAATACCTTTCATTGTTCAATATTGTCTTATTGGTGCCGCAGTTAATTACATCTTGTGGGAAAGCTTCAACCATCGTCGTCGAAGAATCACACGAAGATCAAATTCTTGGTCTCCTCGTCGACAAGAATTGGAGTCAGTTGTTACACAAAAGCAGACAAGAAAAGTTGATTGCAAAGGTTCCAGTAAAGGTCTGTTTTTAGGTTTGCTTGTGCTGGCCGTAGGCATTGTTGTTCTCATTCTCTTTTTTGTTCTTACTAATAACCAGAATCTCAAAGAGGAGACACTTTTCATTATGATCACTGTCCATTGTGCCATTTTAGGCTTATCTTTCTTAGGAATACTCCTTGGAATATGCCGTGTTAGCTGCATGTGTACTGATTATAGCCGAAGGCAGAACCTTCATATTGTTCTACAGAATATAGGAGTTTTTGCTGTATATGTGCATGGTATCTGTTCTCTTGTGGTAGGTGCCACTCATATAAGCAATCCAAGATTTTTAGCTGTATTCGTTGATGGAGCCCTGATGATTATTCAGTCTCTTGCACAATCAATTTTCTTCCACAAAGTTGGTCAAAAATGCTGCTCTGCAAAATGCAAACATGAGGGTTCCAGACCAGGAAGGCAAATTGTCACTTTCCTTGCATTCACTAATCTTGTTCTGTGGATTACTGAATCATTCACTGATCACAATCATGTTTCAAGTCAACTTCAGCTACAGTTTTTTGGTCTTATTCCCTGGGGTTTAATTTCTAGACTCTTGTTGCCTTTGGTCATGTTTTATCGATTCCATTCTTCTGTGTATCTGATGGAAACATGGAAATCCGGTTACAGCATGGAGAGTTAACTCTGTGCACGAGGATAATCCAGCGATGTGATTTATCAATAAGACATTTCAAATACGTATTGTGCATAAAACTGCATTTATCTGTTTTGCAAAAACTGTCTTTCTAATGCATTGTGAGAGACAATGGAAGGTTCTATATAAAGAGATATATTTGATATGTACATACAAGAAATAAATGAAGTAAAGAGCTAAAATTTAAAAAATTTGAATATCAACTAGCTATTAAGTAACTGTGCGAGCTTTGTGCGGGAAAAAATCCATTAGAATTATAAACAAATATCTTTTATATATGCATATAATTTTTCTTTTTTTACACATGTGTATAGTAAGTAAATTGCAACTAATATTTCCATTTTTCAGTAATTACGTTTTACACATACTATCTTAAGAATGTGTAATTTTAAGGAAAGGAGAGAAATAGCTCAAATTTTAAAGTTTTTTTCCTTTGTACAAGCTCTAAAAAAGTACACCATTCTAAAATGTCATTTAGTTACCATATTTTATTTACTCATTTCGCTTTTTTATATTTTTAGACGAAAATAATGCAGGCATTGTTTTGGATTATGTTTTACTTGCAATCAATGGACTAGAAAACTATTGATAATTGCACTAATTGAAAATTAATTAATTATTTATGAATTCAAAGACATTAGACTGTAATGTTAGCTGTTCATACTTTTTCTAACTATATTTTGTGACGTAAAGCCCTTTATTAAATGAAACTGCTTGAACTGAAGGAATTTCGGTTAGTGTTTTGTCACTTGGAACTAGGTGTATTCCAGAAATGTACGACCACGGGACCAAAGTACGAATGATATTTTTATTATGCATATTGATGTTTTCTCTGTAGATTGTTTTCATTATGCCAAGTTGTAAATGCAAGAATCTCATTTTAACATTTTATTCCAAATTTGTTTAATGTAAATCTATTATCATGTATTCAAATAAGTATTAAAGTCGTTTATTTAACTAATATATTGATGGTTTTACTGAACAAATGTAAATTATGTAACGTGTTAATTCATTTAGTTAATAAAGTTTATGTTTTAAAGAAAGTGAACATTACATTGCCTGTGTTAAAGTAGATAAATATTTAAATATGTAAATATATTCCCCCGCTTTATTACGTATGCAATCTTTTACCGCATATCGTATCTTATGAAACAAGTACTCCATTTTAAGTGCATATAATCATTCGTATCTTACTGAAAGAGTCTCGATAGATATTGAACACGTACACTGTCAACGTAAAAATTTCAGTAAGAATAGGAAATGTTGGTTAGCATAACTATTAAAATAATTTTTATGCTTTTGTGAACATGCGATCCTCTTACATGCTAACGTAAGCATATAGGAATATCAAAAACCTCCTCTGTGCTTGTTATAGTATATGGGAGATACCAAATATGATGAATCGAGATAGTAGAATTCGAATATTATTTAAAATAAATGTTTTTCCTATGCTACTGTACAACTGCTTCACATATATGTGTACACATACATAGTTCCCAACTTGACTATTTACTTATTTATAACATGATTATTTACTTGAAGACTTAATGCTCTGGTGGATATAACCTAATTGTTTACAAAGGTCTTAATGCTCCGGTAGATTTGCTCATGAACGTGTCATTTATACAATGTCAGTGAAGCTTCAGCTGTTAGTGAACACTTATGAAAATTTAAAAAAACAATTATAGTAAGCCATCAGATACCGTTGACAATATCCATATTGTACAATTACAGAGATTTATTTGTGTACACAAATAATTAATATTGGTACACAAATTAACTATTAAACAAATGACCGGGCTTGGTAAAGTCTTGCAGTTTTTCTTATGGACTGTAATGAAAAGCTGCAGAGTACAGAAAATGAATATTTTACTTAAGTTTATTATATTCTTGAACAATACATTTTTCAATCGGTACAGTTAGCTTTGCCTCCAGATTGTAAATTATTTGCTGTTAACAGAGTAATTTAATTTAATGAATTGCTGCATTTATAATAAATTAGTTAAAGACATGCAACAGGAATTTTATTTTCAATTATTCTTTATTATTATTTTTAATATACATTATAATATTTTGTGTATATGTGAATGCCTTAAAAATAAGCAGTAACTTCATTTACTTTATTAGAAATTGAATTAAATGTTACGTACCAAAACGAAAATGTGAACATTAATGCAATCTAATTTATTATTCTAGTATGTGAAAATATTATTTAATTTTCGGACAACATGTGTAAATTAACATTCATGTAAGGCATGAAAGATGCTTTCTTGTGGTTAAGTTTTGCAAAAGAATACCTTAGTATTGCAAAAGTTTCATTATGTTTGTTTCATATGTTTTCATTCTGATTCCAGATTCTGAAAAGACATAATTAGGCATTGATTCTTTTACCTACATTTAAGTTACAAAAAAGAGCATTCTGTGATATATGTATGACGATGCAGCGTATAATAACGTAATAAGTTAAGTTCAGCACACACAAAAGCCTCCCAGGCTATTCAATAACATTACATTCAGTTTAGAGGGGGTTTACGGAATCTGCTAATAAAACTGGAGATTAAAAACAATAACTTAAATTTTAATGAATGCTAAGTTAATGTGAGCTTCAGACGTCTCAGTTACATTTGCTGCTTAAATTAAAAACCTATTAGAGACTTATCAATCACAAAAACTGATTGCTTGCATATTTTTTATCTTAAAAAGATGAGTTTAACTTAAAGTTTGCTGATCAATAATAATGCACTGATTCCTAAAGTAAATTTTGTTTGCTTGAAATCACCTATTTTACAGTCTTTAAATGTTATTCGCAGATTTCATCCGTAATAATCTAATGTTGAGTACTCGTGTTTGTAGGAAATGTTTGTTAGTTACGTATTATCTCGTCGACCTTGAAACTGTCACCAAACAGCGTGATTTAGTCCAATTATGGAAACGCTTGACGTAATAGCAGACTCATAATATCTGGTCTCTCAACACACATCTGACGTAATCTCGATTAATTTTTGATAAGTCACCTTTTGATTTTATGAACCAAGGATATAGATTGTTATTGTTGCATTTTTTCTTGCATTTCGAAAGAAAGGATTAAAATTTGGGACCTCCTGACTACAAAACAGCAAGAATTAGATTAATTTCAAAGTTATGAGGTCTTACGATCAATGTCTTATGTGTATATTAACGGACACGATAATGGTCAGCTGACTATGTCCGACAAAACAGTAACAAACTAAAACAATTACCTGTGATAAGTTTCTACCCATAGAATTCTAAAAAGAATTTTAAAGTCGCTGAACACTGGTAGTTCGGTCCGAGGTTCGAATCCCGCGAAGGGCTGGCTGCATGGGTGTTTTCGTGGTTTTCCGCATGTGTAACGTGTATACGAGCCAGTTTCCATTAGAAAGTTCTCCACGAAGGCATCCCTCCCCCTTAGGCAGATAGCCCTCGAGGCTTTGTCGTAATTAAGTAACCTAACCTAACCTAAAAAGAATTTTCGATAAAACCGGAAGACTAATAAAATAGTAGTAGAAATTGGCGAAAGAAAGTCTTTTAATGAGACACAAAAACGAAACGAGACGAATACTGATTGTTTATTAAATAAGGAGGTATCAGTTCCTTCAGAACTCCTCAGGAACGACTGGCGCAATTTTGGCGGTATCTTCGCCAACTTTCATATTCATCTAACTTTCTCAATCGACAGGATAATATGTTAATACCAAATTCTTTAACGAACTTTCAAAAGCTTAGCCCTTGTTCTCTTATATAAAGAACAAATTACTAAAAACTTATTTTGAGAAATGTAACTCGTATTCATCATTTAATGCCTTTATTAGTGTTTTCTGTTCTCTCTTCAGATTTCTTGCTTTCAAGACCATTATAACGTGGCGCATATTGTATCTACCAACTTTTAAATATTAAAGGAAATATGCTGAGTACTAGTAGTAACTTATGTGTTTGTGAAATAACAGAATATGCGTACGCATTTACTACAGTGCATAATACCGGCATCAGTGAACTTCTAAAATAATGTCCTTCTTCCACTTGGATGCAGTGTTCAAGACGATGCGGGAAAGCTTCCATGACATATCTCACCACGTCTTGAAGAATAGTGTCGGAATACAAGTACACTGTTTGACCACCGTTATTGCAAGCTTGTCTGGCATTCCGCCAAAAGATTACGATTTGCCCAACAGGGGTGTTAGCCAGAAAAGAACCCTGGTAAAGGGTTATAATAGCTAATTCCATCTCATCTCTTCGGCGCGAATAATGCCCGTCTACCCTACTTCCAACAAAAAAAAAAAAAGAAAGAAAAAAAAAAAAAAAAAAATTGATTCGAACATCGCGTGCATGTTTTTGTTCATGATCGCATCTCTTGTGGTCGAACTGCATATGTGCCTGCTTTTGCGCTGCCCTATTAGAAACAAATCAAATTCTCCAGCTGTCTTGACCACAAATCTGACGGTCTTCAGTATTCCGTCGAAAATTGCACTGAGCATCTGAGACAAAGCCTGTTCTAAGAAGGCTTCAACTACCGCAATAACGAACTGCACCGGCCAATGCTGTGGGTTATACTATTTGCTTGACCCTTAACTCTCTGCGAGACACACCAATGGCCGAGTGGTAAAATCGCTGAACTCTGGCAGTTCGGTCTGAGGTTCGAATCCCACGAACGGACTGGCTCCATGGGCGTTTTCGGGTTTTTTCCCATAGGTTACATGTATACGAACCAGTTTCCCTTAGAAAGTTCTTCACGAAGGCATTCCTCTCTTTAGGCAGGTAGCCCTCGAGGCTTTGCTGTAATCGCATAAACCAAAACCAAAGTTAACTGGGAAGGTTGCCAACTCAAATTGTAGATACAATATGTGCCACCGTATAGAATACATCTTTTATGTCGTTACTTTCCTTCCAAAGTTTAAACCTAGTCTTTAATTTAAAAGCCTAAAATATGAACACAAGAGCACAGTTTAAAAACTGAATTTGAAAGTTAACAAAAAAGAACTTAGACAACTTTGTCCTTCTTATAAAATTTCTTGCACTCATTATGTAGTAACGCTCTCAAAGGCCAACATATGCAGTGAAATAAGCGTTTGGCGTGCAAGGTACGCCAAACGGGACTACCTTGACCTAGACCATCGACTAGCCCATGCATTGTAGTACGCCCGAATCCCTAGATTTTATCTAAAACGAAAATCTGGTGATCACACTGCCTAAGACCTGATTTGACAATACCTTTATAGTA